ATTTAGTCTCCATGAATGTGAGTGTTTTTGAGTTTTTTCCTTGAGATTGGTTTCCAGTTTCAAGCCCATGTGGTCCAAGAAAATGCTTGTTTTGATTTCAATTTTCCTGCATTTGTTGAGGCTTGTTTTCTGTTTCTTCATGTAGTCTATCTTTGATAATGTTCCATGTGCATTTGAAAAGAATGTGTATTTTGCTTCTTTGGGATGAAAGGTTCTATATATATGTCAGTTAAGTCCATTTGATCTAATGCATCATTTAGTTCAACAATATCCTTGTTGATATTTTGTTTGGAAGATCTACCCATTGTTGAAAGTGGGGTGTTAAAATCCCCTATCATCAGTGTGTTGCTGTCTGTGTCTTTCTTGAAGTCTCCAAGATTTTCCTTATATACTTGGGTGGTCCTATGTTGTGTGCATATCGGTTTACAATGTTTATGTCTCCTTTTGGATTCTTCCTTTGAGTATTAAAAAGTGTCCTTCTGTTTCTCTTTTTATGGCTTTTATTTTGAAATCTATTTTGTCTGATGTAAGTATTGCTACCCCCACGTTTTTTTCTTGTCCACTTGCTTGGAATATTTTTTTCCATCCCTTTTACTTTCAGTCTGCATAGGTCCTTTGTCTTGAGTTGGGTTTCTTGCAAGCAGTATATGTGCGGGTCCTGTTTTCTTATTCATTCATCCACCCTCTGTCTCTTGATTGGAGCATTTAATCCATTTACATTTAAAGTTACTACTGATAGGTACTTATTCATTTTTTTTCTTTGTACCTGTGTTCCTTTCTTTCTCACTCTTTTTTTAAAAAGATTTTTACTTATTTTTTAGAGAAGAGAATTGAGAAAGAGAGAGAAACATCAATGTATGGTTGCATCTCGTGCACCCCCTGTGCGGACCTAGCCTGCAACTCAGGCGCTTGCCCTTCAATGGAAATCGAACCAGCAACCCTTTGGTTCGCAGGCTGGTGCTCAATCCACTGAGGCACACCAGCTATGGTTTTTTCTCACTCTTTTTCTTCATCTTCTTAAAGCAGCCCCCCTAGCATAACTTGCAATGCTGGTTTCATGGAGGTGTATTCTTTTAGCCTTCTTTTGTCTGGGAAACTCCTTATTTCACCTTCCATTTTAATTGAGAGCCTTTCTGGGTAGAGCAGTTTTGGTTGCAAGCCTTTGCTTTTCATTACTTGGAATATTTCTTGCCATTCCCTTCTGGCTTGTAGTGTTTCTGTTGAGAGGTCATCTGCTAGCTGCATCGGGGCTCCCTTGTATTTAACTACCTGTTTCTTCCTTGTTGCCTTTATGATTCTCTGTTCTTTGATATTTGCCATTTTAATAATGATGTGTCTTGGAGTGGGCCTCATTGGGTTCCTCTTGAATGGGACCCTTTGTGCTTCCTGGACTTGTGTGGCTTTTTCTCTTCTCAAATTGGGATAGTTTTCCATTATTACTTTTTCAAACAGATTCTCTATCCCGTGCTCCTCGTCTTCTCCTTCTGGTATCCTTATTATACAGATACTATGTTTCAGGTTGTCCTGCATTTCCCTTAATGCCTCTTCTTTCTTTCTGAGTCTTTTTTTCATGTTCTTGCTCTTTCTGGGAGCTTGTTTTCTACCTTGTCCTCCAGCTCACTGATTCAATCATCTGGTTCATATAGGCTACTTTTTATTCCTTCTACTGTGTTTTTCAGTTCAGAAATTCTGTTCTTCATTTCCTTTTGCCTCTTGTTGATAGTTTCTATGTCCTTTTTCATGCTGATATAGTTTGCAGAAAGTTCTTCATAGTTTCCCTGTAGATTTTGGTAATTCTCTCTGAGCTCACTGAGCTCATCTAGCTTCCTTGGAAGCATTGTTTTGAACTCAATATCTGATAGTTTCCTTGCCTGTCTTTCATTTAGTTCTATTTCTGGGGATTCCTCCTTTCCTTTCTATTGGGGGTAATTTTTTTTTATTCCGATTATTTGTGAAACTCTCCTTTTTTGCTTCTGCTTCTTAAATTGATGTCTTGACTTCCTTAGTTTGTGGTATAAACTTCTATGGTAGGTTACCTGTGAAATTCAATGGTGTAGTCTCCCTAATCTCCTGAACTTGATGTTCTTTGGATACCTTTTATGCTATATTCATTGTCTCTCTGGACGTAATTGGGTTTTGATTGTTGTTTGGTTGTTCTTTGGCTGGTCCTTTCCTCTAGCTGGGTGACTGAGGGTCACTCTGCCCACTATGTCTTGTGTGTCTTTGTGTAGGTGCTGCCAGAAGAAAACCACAAAGCCTAGGAAACAAACCCACACCCGCAAAAATAACTTCGCCCTGCAATCCCTGTATCCACAGCAAATGAACCAGTATTAATAATGCTGTAAAGAGATTAAGACTATTATAAGAAAGGAGGGAAATAAACTGTTAGCATAAAATCTAATTACTTAATATGCACAAACTTGATGGACCCAAAATGGATGTTAATAAGCTATATAGTAAAGAAAATATTGCAAATCATTGAAAAGACCACAGTGGATTTCGTCTCAGTAGCCTCTAGTATTTACCACTGTTTTTCTTTCTGGATCTGCCTCTGATGATGTCAGAAGTTCACCCTATCTGACCTTAGGCAGGCTGTTAGACTCCAGGAATCTACTGTCTGTGGATCTTAATCACACAGTTCTTAATCTAGTCCTTCAGTTCTTAATCTAGTCCCTCTGCATCAGCAGTGAGGCCTAGGCAGCAAAAGGCTAGTGCAGAGTCTTTCCTAGGGATAGGGCTATTGTTATCTCTCACGGTGCTGCTGCTCAGGGGAATGGTCTTCCTGAACAAGATGGCTGCTGCCCAGTGGGGAGTGACTTGGCACTGGGATCCCAGTGGCTACTCTCTCAGTTCTCTTCCCAAAACCTTCATGTGCAATTTCTCCTCAAGTGTCTTTAGTCCACTCTGCTTCCCCTTTAGTAGGGATCTCTTACCTGTGGCTGCCACTCTGTACTCAGGAGTCAGGCTGAAGCACCACAGGGCCTGGGCAGAGTTCTTCCTGTGGACAGGGTTATTGTTTCCTTTCATGCTGCTACTGCTGCTCAGGGGAGTGGTCTGCCAGAGCAAGATGGTTGCCGCTGTATGGAAGATGAGGTAGCACCCAGATCCCGACTGCTACTCTCTCAGTTCTATCCCCAAATCCTCCTTCCCCAGCCCCTCTTCCGGTGTCTCTAGCCCACTCTAGCCCCACCTTTGCCGGAGCCAAAGGTAATTGGCTGCAAACAAAAATCTGTGCGTTGGCCCTTTAAATAGGTCTTTGCGTCTCCAGCTTCCCATCTGTGGCACAGAGCAACCCTGCCACTTTTCACAGCTGGTTGTTACCTGTGTACTTTTGGGCTCCGGTGCTGTAGGCTGGGAGTCCCCTCTTATGGTATAGACCCCACTCTTCTCAGGGGGATCCAACTGGTTGTTTAAATATCTCTCTGGCATTGCCACCTATGGGCGCCCAGCCAGCCTTCTCGAGTCTCTACCACACTCCTTACCAGTCAGGTTGTGCTAAAGCTGATTCTTCTATCTGTCTGAGGTTATAAGGCTTCTCTCTCACTATTAGTTGTTTGTTCCTGGTGATTTCTCCACAGTTTAGTTTTAATTCCCAGTTGGCCTGAGAGTAGGTCAATGTGACTTCCATTCACTTCCCTGCCATCTTGAAACTTCAGAACCTCTTTAATTAGACTTCCGACCAAGATGGAGAAGTAGGTAGATACACTTTGCCTCCTTCACAACAAAAAGAAGGACAACAGCAAATTTAAAAACAAAAAATAACCAGACTGCTATGAAGTTAAAGGAGTTCATTATCACCAAGCCCACATTATATAAAATGTTAAAGGGGTTTAGTCTAAGAAAAAGATGAAAATCAAGAACTATTTACTGTAAAATGACAACAAAGTCACAACTGTCAACAACCAAAAATAATACTGAAGGAAAAAAAACAAAACAAAAACCAACTAAGCAAACAACTAGAACAGGAACAGAACCTCAGAAATGGAGATCAGAGGGGAGGAGGAGTGGGCGAGAATAGGGGAAAAGGTACAGGGAATAAGAAGGATAAATAGTAGTACAAAACAGACAGGGAGAGATTAAGAATAGTATAGGAAATGGAGAAGCCAAGAACTTACAGGTACTTCCCATGGACATGAACTAATGGGGTTGGGGGCAATGCTGGTGGGATGAGGGGTGCAGGGTGGAGGGAAATAAAGGGGAGGAAAAAATGGGAAAACTGTAAGCATAATCAATAAAATATATATTAAAAAAAAAACTTTAGGTAAATCCAAGCTGACTCAAGACATTGCAGTTAAGTTCTCTGCAAGGAATCATTGAGAACTACACCAGTTGGTATAGAACATGGATGGCTCTATGCCATTATGGAGCCATTAGTATATTTTGGACATTTGCATTTAGAACAGTGACACTTCAGCTGTATTCTGTAGGCCAAGATGAATTTGCATTTTCCTCTGATGTTTCTTAGATTTTTCTCATTGTTTCTCTGTTTTCTCATGTAAATTAATACTGTGGCATTATCTGTTGTAGCCTCTGTTCTAGCTTTTAGGTCTAATTTTTTGGCAGTTTGTTTTACATGTTTTCCTTATACTTCCTTTCTATATTAGAGTCTTATTTTCTCATCTCTACTTTTGGAGTAACCTCCTTATTGTTTTTATGTCTTTTTTCTTTACTCTCTTTTCAATCTACTTGAGTTTTAAGAATTGTATACTATTTCTGACTACAAGCATAATCAAGTTAAAGAGAATTCCATCCACCCTAAAGGTACACCTGTGCCCCTTTGCAGGCAGTGTCCTTTCTCCAAGCAACTGTTGATCTCCTTTCTGTCACTATAGTTTTGCTTTTTCTCAAATTTCTTATAAATGGAATCATATGGAGTGTAACCCTTTATTCACTTCATTCGCTTTGCATAATGCAGTTGAGATTCATTCATGGTGTTGCATGTAGTTTATTTCTTTGTATTACTAAGTAGTGTTCAAGTGATTTAATTGTTGACATTGCAGGTGGACGGCATAGTGGCTGCTGAGTATGAGCTGGAGTACCTCTTACTAGAAGGTCACTGCTATGATATCACCACAGGCCAGCCTCCACGAGGACTACAGTTTACATTAGGAACTTCAGCCAACCCAGTCATTGTGGATACCATTGTTATGGCCAATCTGGTAAATGATTAATACATCAGTGGTGATATTGAGTCATGTTAATTTGGGCACTACAATGTATGATGGAACAATTAGCATTCTGGACATGAGTGAGATTAAAATTTATGATTAACTAAATTTGGTTAATATAAAAATCCTAAGTTTAATTAAACTTATAGATTGGATTACAAGTCACCTTAAAAGAAAACATGTAAGAATCTTCTACTCTGAACCAAATTGGCCCCTGAAAATGCATTGCTTCTGAGGTGATAGCCTTATTCTTTTCATTAGAGGTTTTGCAGCTTCCTCACACATTACACATTGATTCTTCACTAAGTACGGCCAAAGGGCAGGTTTCTTGGCTTGCCTGGCCTGTGTTCTGCTAGTGTTTCTAATATGTAGATATATTTTAGTTGCACTAATTTGTTAACTATCTTATTTAAGATAGAGGTGACTGATATTTCAAAAAAGAAATAACTGTCCCTCAGAAACAGCATTTTAATATTTCAAAGAGAACTAAAATTTGTCTTTTCTTCTTGTTCTAGGGTTACTTTCAGTTAAAAGCCAACCCAGGAGCTTGGATTCTCAGACTAAGGAAAGGACGTTCTGAAGATATTTATAGAATCTATAGGTAGGATTAAGTGATGCAGGAGCATTTTTTTTCCAGAGCATTTTGCTCTGAAAATCAGCTTGAATTGCATACTACACTGGCAGTTAGCCAGGGAATAAGAATTTAATTTACAGTCATATTGCTTTTCCAGGAAATTAAACAAGGTAGTAATGCTATCCAGTAGTAATAAGTATGGTCAGGTTTTAAGACCAATGTCAGGTCCACTTACTCTTTTTACAAATATTTTACAGTTTTATTTTTAAATCATTGGGACCATGGTAGTTTAAAAAGAAAAGTCTCTGCTCATTAGCTGCTAAAGATGCAAAAGACAAGACAAGAAGCTCAGTAAGTACTTCCGGGGGTTAGTGTAGCTCCCCCATGTAGGGGACCATAGAGAAGAATTCAGATTGCCCCCTTACTTTCCCTCAATCTTCACCTTGCAGAAGTACTATGGGAGAGGAAGATATTATGACACCCTCCCCTCTTTTTGTATTTCAAGAGTACAAAAAAGGCTTAAGATAACACTGAACTCCCTCTTTGCTAGGAATTTGGCAAGACAGCAATTTCCAAACCAACTCTCTTTAAGAGTTAGCTCAATTTCCACTTTCAGGTCTTTTTAAGAGGAGGGAGGGTCTGTTGTATTCCCTGCATCCCTCATTCCACTGCATTCTCCTTCCACCAAAGCCCCCAGAACAGAGCCCTTGTTCTGATCCCATCTGGTCCCTCCTAGGCTCATTCCGCAAATGAGCTTTCCTCCCACTCCACAACCAAATACTTTCTGCAGCAATTGACCCTGGCACTCGTGAGGACCCTAGATAATGATGCCAGCTTTCCTGCATGCAGCATCACACCCAGGGAAATCAAGTGACAGCCAGGAGAAGTCCAAAAATGATAAGAACTCTGAGTACCCCACCAAAACTCAGCTCTGCTCAGCCAATCCTGACATATCCCAGACTAGATTTAGTCATCACAGAGGTGCATAGTAGAACCTCCCACACACACAGCTGCCCAAGGAAGCTATGCTGTTATTCCCAGCAAAAGAGGGTAAAAGAACAGACATTACAAATGTGATAGAGCCTATCAGAAATGGCAGCTGATGACAACAGTTACCCTGTATCTCTTGATCCTGCCTGAAGAGCAGCACCAACAAAGGCATGATGAGCAGAGGGATCTGTAGCTAGATGTGCAGCCCTTGCATTGCTAGAGGACTTGGAGACAGCACAGCTTATTTTCCTATAATTATATAGGAACTAGAAGACAGACTACCCACCCCCACATTGAGACCACTCCTGAGAGGCCGTAACGCTTTTATGGTTATCAGTCATCCCCTTAGTAGGCCCATTTGGGGAGCAGTCACAACCAGAGTGGGGTTTCGTCCAGGCAGACACTCTCATAGCAGCCCATCCCATTGTCACTGGGGCAGGCCAAACATATCTAAGAGGGTAGGCAGAGACCAGGCATCAGAAATCCCATAGGTATCATTCTGGCCTAACATAGACAGGGCCAAACACAGGGGGCTCCAGATACTCTCTGACATGGCACCCCCTTCACCCCAAGGGCCTGGCTTTTCCTTTGCATGTCCAAGGCCTCCAAAAAGTGTTCCAGAGCCTCCTGGTGAACCCAAGGTTGATGCAGCTGATGACCAGGTTACAGTGCGACCATATATAGCCATCCAGGCTGTAGTTTGGGGGCCCAGTGATAGGTACTACTACTTCTTCATTCTGGTGTCCATTGGCCAGGGTGGCCCCTTGTTTATTCCACAGCAGGCAGTCATTGGGATAAATGTTGAGGGCAGCTGTGAAACAGTCCACCACCTTGTCACATTCCTCACTCAGATTGAAAAAGACCCCCAACCCACACCGCACATCAGGGTCATTGGATGTAAGGTCCAGGCATTTAGCTACCAGGAAGAGCTCTTTCGCTTCAAGAAACAGGGAGTCAGACAACAGAGATTCCAGTATGCTTTTGCTGGAGCCCAGGCCTGTGCCACCAGCCCCTTCCCTTGGCACCACCAGATGGGCATGTGCCATTGGATAGTGTGTCCAGTCTTGCAGGCTGTCATAGGCCTGTGACTGCAGCCAGTGCCATCAGTGCTGTCCATTTATTTGGCTTTAGCTCCAGATACTTCTGCAGTGTGCTGATGGCTAATAGTTCTTGTTCAGTCTCTGCCTGGCTGGTACCCAGATCCTGCCAGGCATGTGCTTGAGGTCCTGCTGCATAGCCATCTCAGAAAGCACCACCACATCTGGCAGGTCCCCCTAGGAGTCATGAAAGCCTGAGGGTGGTCACAGGGGGGCTTCTCCTCTTCATGTTGATACCCTTATCATAGGACACATCAATGAGGTCATGATGGCCAGAAACCTGGGGGAGCCTCAGCATCCCATTGTGCCATCTCCTCCAGTTCTGCCTATAACTCTGTAGCTGACTAGGCTAGTTCAAACTCCATATCAGGGGTATGTGTCTTTATGGGTCTTGTGAACCAGTCAACCCAGGAATCTGATGAACCCTCAGGGTTAGCCAGTTTGGGCTCATACCCCCTGGCCAAAAAGTCACTTCGTCCTACAGATCCTCTTCAGGATGATGTTCATCATACCAGTCATCAGTAGCAGCTGTTCCTGCAGTTTCTCCCAGCCACACTTCTCTGACTGTTTCAGAGTCCTCAGCCTAGCAGGCAAGGGCACAGACAAAGGGTCTGTAACTTAAGAGATGAAATCTTGGGACCAGTCAGTCTCATAATAATTCTGAATTATATCCACAGCACCTCTAGCTGCAGGAACCCTCCTGGGCCCAGTTCTCAGTCAGACAAGACCAGATCTGCCACATTAGTGCCTCTGGAGTGCCAGGCAGTAACTTGACTGTTTTGTCTCTTGCATCTCTGCCCAGAGGTCATCCTTCTTGAAGGTCGGGTGGCACAGGATACAAGTGGTGCACTCTAGTCCTGGAGGAATTTGCCCACCAACTCAACTTCAGAGACTATCCTTAGACACCATTTCAGAGGCTGGGCTTCCTGGTGGCCAGGGACCAAGCCCTAGCCCCTCTTGCCAAAGGGTCTCGTCCTGGGTAAAGTGCCCAGCCAGCTTCATGAGTGGGTTGGCTCCCCTGCATTTGGCCTCTACCTGCTCCCACATTACCATGGTGACTGCCAGCGCTCGCATGGCACCACTCCACATGACCCTTCAGGGTACCTGGTTGCAGGCTGAAGAGGGAGAGGAAAAAATGGGGCCTTCATGTTTCATTGTTCAGTCATTCCTTTCTGATGCCAGTATTCCACAATCAAATAATCTGTCACTGTGATGAAAACCATAGGCAGATGAGAAATTGAGTGTGTTTAAGAAAGGAGAAAGGAAATGAACAGTTAGGCTTTTCTGCCTAGATTATTTCTCAACACTGAGTTGCAGGTGAGCAGTATGTGTGAGCTTAAGCCATGAAACCCTGGTGCTCACACTGGTCCTTCTTGGTCTAAAGTAGATTAAAAGTAAAGACTCCTAAAGCATTTGGTCAGGAGCCAGGTTTTCGCTTTCAGGTTTGCTACAAATGATTCTTAGTTTTAAAAAATTATACTACCTTTAAAAAGGTGTGGTCTACATTCTGCTTAACACAGTTTAAATTAGTTTTAAGTTCTGTGAAAAGACTTTGTGTCAATTTATTTAGGGAATGACAAGATGAGGACACGGCAAGAGTTGTTTAAACACCCTCTTGCCGTGTCCTCCATCTTTGCTCCATAAGATCTTACCTGATGTGTGAAAGCAGTGTGAATTCTTGCATGTTTCTTATGCAGGAAATAGAAGACTTTTATATTACAATAACACCGTCATTATAAACAGTAGATTTTCCTCCAAATGATGTTTTTCCCAATAAGGTTTTGCAGAATTTTAATTTGTCATAAGTTTATCTGTTCTTCTAAACCCTGTTCCTTCTGCATGTCCTTTCTCTGGCCACTCTCCTTACTCCTAGGAGTGTGGTAACCTTCTCTCTTCCTGCTATCTAGGGCTCCTTGCCTTCCTGCTTCCCGTTGGATATTCCCAGCCTCTAGAGTGTCTCATGTGCCCCCTTCAGAATCTTACCTTTGCCTGAGAACCCTGCTGTCTGTGGGATGACAGTGAATCTATATTCTGTGATGGCTTTCTGCAGTTAACACCTTGAAAATTGGTGGTTAGAAGTTTTAGGCATTACAGTTCATTAGTAGGGAAATGTTTTGCCTCCTCCGCACTGTTTGCCTGCAAATAGAGCTTGTGATAGGCCTTCCTCTAAAGTATGGACAGCAGATTGAGTGCAGGGCCTAGACTGGCTCATATGCTTCCAAGCAGAACAGAGTAGTTGCCTTTATGAAACTCTGAGGTAGAGCCATGCTTTGCTACTTGCCCATTGAAAAGAGGAAAGGGTGTGTTTCTTGTGATTGTGCAGAGTGGCCCATGGCCCAAGCAGTCCTTCATTGAAGGTGCTGGGCTTAGCTCATACCTTGTGCACACAGATGGTGGTTAAGTATCCATGATGCACTTGCCAGCACTGGCAGCCTCTCATTCTATGAAAGGTAATTTCAGAGAACTCAAGAAAGAAGTTTGAGCTATGACTGACTGGAATGCTCAATGATTAAAGGATAGAGATTTTTGACAAGTGCTTCTGTGTATCTTGAAGGTGCTTCCTGCAGGCTGTGAAACAATAATTTGTTCTGAGAAACTATGATAAAATCATGGACAAATATAGTGGATTGATGTCAGAGCACTTACTGCATTTGAAAGCTGTGATTTGTAATGTCCATCTTACTTTCTCCCTTATCTCTCTAAGCCATGATGGTACAGACTCTCCACCTGATGCTGGTGAAGTAGTTGTTGTCCTCAATAACTTCAAGAGCAAAATAATTAAAGTGAAGGTGAGTTTGGTATATTAAGGTGGCCACTCTTTTATAGTTGGTAACAGTAGCAGTATTTTGGTATTCAGTAGCCATTATCTAAAAATATGTGTCGTGAAACCAGCCCCAAACTTTGTGAGTTGATGGATGGGTTAACTCCAATAATAATACTATTGTGATAATCATTTCACAGTATATATGTATACAGAATCACCACGCTGTATACCTTAAATTTGTGCAGTGTTATTTGTCAATTATATCTCAGTAAAGCTGAGGGGGAAAGTAAAAGAAATCCAAGACTTTAATTCAGCTTTGGAGTTTCATTATAGTGTTTATAGTAACACTGTTTTAAATGCAAAATGTCTTTTCTAAATATGCATTTGTGGCTTTCTTCAGCTCAGAGAGTGCACATTTTGGGTAATCTCAATAAGCAGGAGAAGTCTCATTTTAGACAACATGTTTTCATAGACATTGTGTTCTTATGTAGCCACAATTTACGTTATTATTGATGACTATTTTCAGAAAATTGAGAATGCCGATGAAAATTTTACCAGCAGTTATAAATGGCAGCTCATTTAGTTTCTTCTCATGTTTTTCTATTCTTGGAATTTTAAAGTTCTTAATGCCTTATAAATTCAAAAACTATCAAAAGGTATTATAGTGTAAATACAGACATACCTCGTTGTATTGCACTTTGCTTTATTGTGCTTCACAGATGATGCATTTTTTACTAACTGAAGGAAAGTACTCCACCAGCAAAAAAGATTTTGACTCACTTTATTGAGCTACTCACCTGATTGTGGTGGTCAGGAACTGAGCCCACAATTTTTACACAGTAAAACCTAAAGCAGATCACACATGGTTGAGCAGAAAAAATGGTCCCTATACCATAGAGAAGATTCTCCTGGTTCTCTACTAGTAAATCCTGAAAAAAATCTGTGACATGAAATGACTTCTTCCTAATGGAACTCATGTAGGCTGCACTTACTTCCTAGAACTAACCATGTTAGCTTGGTGAATTGTACTTGTATTTTTACTCGGACTATATATCCTACACAAGTGCTTGAAGTTCTTTGTACATATTTCAAACTGAAAAGAGTTACGTCTAATTAGAAGAGGTTGTTGTCTTCTCACGTAAGGTTTTACGTCATATGATGCAGATCCTTCTGTTTAATACATCTAGTCTCTGAGTGGGTTGTACCTGCTTGTAGGAGAATTAATTCCCTATTGTTGGCAGTACCTACAGTGAAAATCAGTTTAATGCCTGTTAAACTCAACAGGAGTAATAAGATTCATCATATATGATTGCAGGTTCAAAAGAAGGCGGACATGGTGAATGAAGACTTGCTGAGTGATGGAGCTAATGAGAATGAGTCTGGATTTTGGGACTCCTTCAAATGGTAAATTGGCATAATGAAAAAGTTATTTTTGGGAAACATTATAATATAAGGAGCATCTCTCCCTTCTTTTGAGTATAATAATTCTGTCTTGGGCCTTTCAGATTTGGTGCTCTGTGCAGCCAAAAATTGCACTTAAATTTAGCATGCATATTTCCCACTGATAACAAAAAGTTAATGCCCTCTCACCATGAAGTTCCTTCTCTTCCATGCTTGTTGACTCTCGTTGGTTGTGCCTGCTCTTTGGAGGCCTGACTAATCATTGCTCTGTTGACTCTCCATTGTATTCCCTACATTCTGTGGAACAGCCTGTGTTCATGCTTTTCCCGAAGTTGTTCCCCTGTGGGGTGGTGTCTTGGCCATGTGCTCTTTCTCCCCCACAGTGTGAGGGACTCTTGGTACCTGGTCCCCTGCACTGGTTTCTAGGGAAGGAGCAGGGATAGGAAAGAAAATGCCGTCTCTTTAACTCTCAGCTGAAAGGACTGTGTATCTGACCTTTATTGTTACAGGGGCTTCACGGGAGGACAGAGCACTGAGGCAGCAAAGCAAGATAAAGATGACATCATTAATATTTTCTCTGTGGCATCTGGCCATCTCTATGAGAGATTTCTTCGGTTAGTCATGTTGATTATTTCATTATAGACAAATGAATTTGTCAGTGTTCTTTTGTAGAGAGTAAATGTTTTATGGATTCTGCCCATTATACTTTTGTGTATTTGAAGCACCCTCAGCGTTATGAATAGATTACCATACATAATCGTTTTGATATGGCTAACAGCATGAACTCAGGCTATATAGTAAATGCATCTGTGTGGATATTACAGGGCTTTAAATTTTTAATGTCACTGTGCACACATTATAAATAGTGGTGTTTAATTGATCACCAAGCATTGCTTAAACTACAAATTCAGAGGTTAATAGAGAGAATCAAAGTGAAACAGGACCATGGACCTGCCTTCTAAAGATTCACTGTATTTTAGTCAGGGCAGGGGGTGGGCGGTGGTGATCTTAGTTCCCATATAGGAGCAGCTCTGGTTTATAGACAGACTGGGACTCAGGATGAAGGGACTTGCCTGAGGTCATACAGTCAGGGCCAAGGAGAAGACACTGTCTGGGGCTGGTTGATGCTTTGGTTGCTAGGGGGAAGCCCTCAGGAGTGCCTTGCATTCAGTGGTCAGGAGGGTGCCTTTGCCTGCAAGTGACTTTCCTAAGCCAGGCTCTTATTACTCTTAATTTCCCACTACAAATTTACTATAGCAAATAATCAAAATGTCATTTTACTAATGGTTTAGACCTCCTATTTCCAAGAAATAATATCTGACCTAAAATAGTAATATCATATGTTAGTAGCAACTGAATTTAATTAAATTCCTTTACTCAAAAAGTATTTTTGTTTGTTTTCAAAATAGGGACTCCTGAAACTAACCATTTGCCATTTCTTTACCTTCCCCTTGGCAGGGGTCTCCAGTACAGGTTGTAAGAAGCAGGCCAGTTCCCACAGAGCTGCTATGGCTTTACAGACTTTCTTGTTAGAGTGATGTAGTCAATAAATCACAACCTCCATTATTAATTTGTATCATTATTAATATATCAGTTCATAAAGCAGTTTATTTAAAGATGTTACATAGTTAAAACATTTGCTGTTGTAGGTGAGAAGTACTCCTTTCTCATTCAGTGATACATTTACAGGAAGGAATATGTGCAATTTTCCATTTTCCATTACTAAGGGTCTCCCTTGGTCCAATTAAGCCATTAGTTAGCTCTGCCTTGAAGAACATTTAGTGATCTTGTAATTGACTACTTGATTTTGTTGAGATTAAAATGTCTTTTGGAAGATTATTAGTACTATTTGCTTTTATTTGACAGCATAATGATGTTATCAGTACTGAAGAATACCGAGACTCCTGTGAAATTTTGGTTTCTGAAGAATTATTTGTCCCCCACATTTAAGGTTTGTTCCTTAGGGAAAAGGAAAGCATTCTTATATTAAGGAGATACTTGCTGTACAATGTACTTTTTACTATTTCTATGTTATCTATATAATTTTAAAATTTTCCTTTTATTAAATTACCCTGATTCAATTGCATATTTCCATGTCGATTACTCTTCCAGACTGATCCATTTTGGGGGAATGCTGTTATAAAACTGAACGCAAAATTATGTCCTATTTGAAGAATAGGAGGAGAGTCTGTATTGTTTGCTTTGATGAAATAACATTCTCTTTTGAGCGTGCATGTCCTAGTTTAATTAGAAAATATGATGCTGGTTTTCATAAGCATGAGCAACTACCCAGTCATCTAGAGAAGTAATGCTTCATCTGTATAAAACAAAAACACACTTGCAAAGTTTTCTGCTTTATTTATATAAGTTAGTATTTGTCATCTAAACTGATTTATTTGTATCTTTTTTTATTGTTGTTACTCTGTAGAATTTACTAAACAACTCTTTATGTATTTAGTAATTTCTCTTCTAATGTAAGTAATTCACATCTGGTCCCCTGAAGGTACTTGTATTTAGAATAGTAAAGACTTAATGGCAACACAGTTGCTCAGTTTGGGTTTGCCCTATCATTCCCTAGGTTAGACCTAACCAAGAGAAAGGCTTAAAAATGAAGCTCAAAAAATGTTTTACTGATCAAGTTTAGACAAATTAAGTTTATGTCTCTTAAATGCATATGCACAAATGTAAATTAGTTATCTAAAAGCCTTTACTTAAAGATTTCTGTCATTTCATGTAGTGCTCAGAAGTCAAGGAAATGGGGATTTGGCAAAAGTTTTTATGTGTTTTTTTAACAGTCACCGGTGAGTCAAGGGTCAAATTTTATTAGACCATTGTTATGGTAAATGTGTTTTACTTGTGCCAAAATCATGATGGTTGTCTTATGATTATGAAGTCCATTTACTTATCAAAGTAAATGATTGTTTGGTGTTCCCTGTGTCTAAAAATAGGAGTTTATACCTTATATGGCAAATGAATATAATTTCCAATATGAGCTCGTTCAATACAAATGGCCCCGGTGGCTTCATCAACAGACTGAAAAGCAGCGCATCATCTGGGGTTACAAGATCCTTTTCCTGGATGTGCTCTTCCCACTGGTTGTTGACAAATTCTTGTTTGTAGATGCTGATCAGGTAAGTTCTTAAAGGCCAAGTTTAAACAGTTTATATTAAAGGCATTAGACTTCCTTTTCTTTTTTGAATGATTCTATTTTTCCAGTTATGGAAAAATACATGCTTATTTTACATTATTTGGAATATATAGAAAGGTATCACCCAGGTGTGATGATTTTTAAAATTTGCATTCGATGTATCTCCTTTTCATATTTTCTTCTGTGTTTCTTCTACGTAGCTGTCATTATGTTGGGTTGGCCCAAAAGTTCACGTTTTTTTTTTTCCATAAGATGGCTCTAGTGTGGCTTAGTTCATTCAAAATAATTTTGTTAGATTGTATTGTGACAGTTGTCATATCACTGTGCATTTAAAAAAAGACTGGCTGGTGTAGCTCGGTGGATTGAGTGCTGGCCCGCGAACCGAAGGGTCACCAATACGATTCCCAGTCAGGGCACATGCCTGGGTTGTAGGCTGGGTTGTAGGTGCAAGAGGCAACCATACATTGATGTTTCTTTCCCTCTCTTTCTCCTTCCCTTCCCCTCTCTCTAAAAAGCAGTACAATCTTTAAAAAAAAAAAAAAAAAAGAACATCAAAATTGATGAATTTTTGTGTAGCCATTTTAGTATTGAAGATGGAAGAAAATAAGCAACATTTTTGGCATATTATGCTTTATTTTTTCAAGAAAGGTAAAAATGCAACTGAAACACAAAAAATGATTGTTGCAGTATATGGAGAAGGTGTGTTGACTGATCCAACATGTCAAAATTGGTTTGTGAAGCTTTGTGCTGGAGAGTTCTCATTGAACAAGGCTCCATGGTGGCTTAGACCAGTTGAAGGTGATAGTGATCAAATTGAGGCATTTATTGAGAGCATTCAGTGTTATACTACACAGGACGTAGCCAACATACTAAAAATATCCAAATATATAAAATGATTGGTGAAAGTGAAAAATGTATCTTTTATTTTATGGAAAAAACTAAACAGACTTTTTGGCCAGGCCATATCATGTATGCAGTTTTTTTATCTTAATTCATTTCACATACAAACTAAAAATGGTGTTGTTTCACATATGTCCATAGAGTAATTCACATAAACCTCCCAACAGCCCTGTGAAATTCCCATTTTACAAATGAGCAAACTGGGTCACAGAGAAGCTAAGCAATATAAATTTGTTTATTTCTACTTTTTTTGAATACTTAGACTACTGTGTGCTAAACACTAAGCTAAGTGTCTTACCCATTGGTGAGGGCAGTCAGCTAATCAGTGGAGGAATGCAGGTTCAGACTGGGTCTCCTTCTGGAGCCTGTGCCATTAACCACAATGCTCCCCTCCAGGATTCCTTCAGTGAGGTACTCTGTATTTTCAGGAAACTGCTATCTGCATGATTGTTTAACAAATGACTTTGTGATTTTTCTCCAGATCGTAAGAACAGATCTGAAAGAGCTAAGGGATTTCAATTTGGATGGTGCCCCTTATGGTTATACTCCTTTCTGTGATAGCCGAAAAGAAATGGATGGCTACAGGTTCTGGAAATCAGGGTACTGGGCCAGTCACTTAGCTGGGCGGAAATACCATATCAGGTAATGAAAAGGAACTGCTCCTAACACTGTTTTTTAATTTTCTTTTCTTTAAATTAATTTTGTATATTTGAAACTGAATAAGTAATATATTAATACAGTTCATAAATAAAAATAATTAAAAACATACAGTGAAAAAAAAATCTTAATACTCTTCCACCTAGTTTTCATTCCACAACAGATAACTTCCTCTGCTAATGTACTATATGCCCCACAGAGTTTTTTAAATTTTTACATAAACAACAATTATGACTTCTTTGCACAAAATATGAATTCTTTTTTACACAAAATATACCATCCTATTTATAGTTTTATGCCTTGCTTTTTTTTTAACTTAATATCTCTAGTGAATCTTATTATATATATAGAGAGAGACCTTACTCCTTTTTATGTCTACATAGTATTCCAGTAGTGTTATTATATTTACAGTCTTTTGCTCGGACATACATTGTTGCACTGAATAATTAAATACATTATTTTGTATATTTCAGTATACCTGTAGGATAAATTTCTAGAAATATAACTCCTAGGTCAAACCATATGTATGTGTTTGATACTTTTCTGATGAACACTACATTATCTTCTTTGGGCAAAGTGTGATTTGGAAGATTTGGAGGGTTGGGGACCTGTAGGAAACAGCACATAACAGAGATAAACATTGGGATATGGTCATATTATTATTAAACTTTGTTTTTGGTCCAAAAAAATAACTCTTGTTTTTTCCCCTGCAGCATTTAAAACATCATCAGGATATTTTTGACTAATGGTTATTGAGCAGTTAGTATAGCTTTTAATACCCAACCTGTTGACATTGGCTAGAAGTCTTTTGTTCAGAGATTACATTATTTCTTTTGAAAGGCAATTAAATAAGGAAAAATGACAAACAGCTTGTGGTGGCAGAATATGGGTTTTGTAGTAATTTTCTTAGTCATCTTTAAGTAGCATATTACTAATCCTGAGGTCCACCATCAGGCCTCAGCTCACCTTTTCAAAGAAAAGCCAGAATGTTTGCCCATTAACCTCTTCCATTATAAAGTGGGCTTCCTTTTTATGCCATAATCCATGGTTATAACAGATGAATCTTCTCTATCCAGTGCACTGTATGTTGTTGATCTGAAGAAGTTTAGGAAAATAGCTGCTGGTGACAGACTCAGAGGACAGTACCAAGGTCTGAGTCAGGATCCTAACAGCCTTTCAAATCTTGATCAAGTAAGCACCTGTTGTTTTTTGTTTTTTTGGTTTTTTTTTTTGTTTTGTTAACACTTTCAGTCATGGGTATACCATGTTGTGTCAGAAAATGGTGTATTATTTTCTTCTCTCTTCACTCCTCTGTTGGGACAGTGTTTTGTTTCTTAATGGGAAGGAATTTTGTATTTGTGTGTGTGACATTTTTATTTGTCCTCAAAAGAAGACACACCAGTGAAAAATGTCAAAGGCCTAATAAGAGGGCTTTGCTCTGAGCCATGCTGTCCTCTAAGTGATGTTCCCTGTCCCGGTAGTAGCAGTGCAGGTGCGGATGGCATCGTCTCCTGCCCTCTTGTCTTTTGTAAGAAACCTCAGTTCTTAATCAGGCCGCATTCCAGCTCCTTTTCCTACTGCTCAGAGAGTGAGCACACCTGCTTTGTGGCGGGCTACCAAGCAGGATCCTGTGAACAGCTTGCCATCTGGATGCTGCCCACATGGAAGTCAGCAGGAACTCCTCTTTCGGCACAGAAACTCTTGACAAAACGCTGAAATGGTGGCGACCTCCACTTATATTTTTGTTATTAATTTCTATCACATTTGTTCTATGATCTGAAATGAATTCTCTGTGATTTAAGGCATTGAAGATTACTGAGATTTGCTTTTTGACTCACATATGGTCAGTTTTGGTAAACATTTCATCTGGTTTTATATTCTATAGTTGTTAGGTGTAATATTTTTGTATATGGGTTCATTTATGTTTAGCAATATGTTGTATGGTTTTTGTCTCTTTTCTATTAGTTGTGGAGATAATTGTGTTAAAATAATTTTCTTTACTGTAAAATCTTTGTTTTTGGTTTTTTCAAACTTTGCGTTATGTGTTTTAAGACTACATTTTTGAGTGGCCAGAAACTTAGAAGTCATATTCATATTTCTGACAAATGAAGCTTTTATTATCTCTGGTTATACCTTTCTTTTTCTTTTTGGGTCTTAAATTGTGCTTCTTCTAATATTAGTGCAACTACATTACTTTTCCTTTTGGTTAATGTTACATTATATTTTTTAAAATCCTTCTATTTTCAATTTTTCCCTATTCTGATGTTTTAGTTCTGTTTCTTACAAATAACTTGTGTCTGTTTGTTTTTTCATTGGGTGTGACAATCATTTAATTTGAACATTTAGCTAATTTATAGTTAATGTAATTACCCGTAAGTTTGGCTTTTCTATGTTACTCCTACTTATTACACGTGTTCTGTATTTTTTTCTCCTTAGTTTCTTTTAGATTGAGAGTTTTTATAATTTCATTTTCTCTCAACTAGCTTAAGCTATACACATTTTCACAATTCTTTTTAATGATTATTCTAGCAATTATAGTATTATGCATTTCTGACTTTGCAAAGGCTAATATTAATTGGTTTATTTTACTCACCTACCACACAGTGCAAAACTATCAGAACAGTACTTCTCAAATTTTGGCTTTCATAAAAGAATCACCTGGAGAACTTACCAAAGCATTAATACCTGGGCCCCATTTGCACAGGATGATTCAGTAAATAAATGGTTGGGCCCAAGAATCTTCATTTCTCTCAAGTGCCTTACTGCAAGTCTGCGTACCACATTTGAAGTAGCACTGCCTTAGAAACTCATTAACTCCATATATCCCAACCTAAATGCCTGTTGCCTTGTATTTTAGATCTCTCTATATTTTAAACCTCAGAAAAAGTTATTATTCTTGTTTAGTATACTCAGCATCTATTTAGATTTAGATTTACTCACATAGTTAACCCTTTTGGTTAGATGCATTCTTCTCTGTATTTCTGGGTTTCCATAGAGTCATTTTCTATCTACCTGAAGAATATCCTTTAATTTCCCTTAGTGTGAGTTCATAAGTAACAAATTTAATTGTGGTAAAATATATATAACATAAAATTTACTATTTTAATCTTTTTTTACTGTACAGTTCAGTGGCATTAAGTACATTCATAACGTTGTGTAACTGTCCATCTCCAGAAATTTTTAGTATCCCAAGCAGAAACTGTATACCATCCCTTTTCTCCTCTTCCAGGCCCTGGTAACCTCTATTTCATTGTCTGTATGAATTTGCCTATTCTAAGTACTTTTGGAATTAAAGGGTGTTTTTCTTTTTGTGTCTGGATTATTTCACTTAGCATGTTTTCAAGGTTCATTCATATTGTAGCATGTTTCAGAATTTTCTTCCTGTTAAGACTGAATAATATTTCATTATATGTATATACCATATTTTGTTTATCCATTCATTTGTTCATGGACATTTGATTTACTTCCACCTTTTGACTATTGTGAATAATGCCTCTATGAACATTGGTGTACAAGCATCTATTTTAGTCCCTGCTTTCACTTCTTTTCTGTACATCCCCAGAAGTGGAATTGCTGGCTCGTATTGCTATTTGTGTCTTAGGACAATGGAACATTTTATTGTGTCAAACTCAAAAGGTTTCCTGGGACAAAAGCTTCAAAGCATAGAGGACAGTTGGCTAGAAAACATGTGGATGTCATCCATTTGGGATTAGGCCTCAGCAGACAAGATGAATTCAGTTTCCTTTAAGCAAAACTGAAATATAAGAACCAAGCTCTATTTTTAGTTGACTTTAAAAGATAGTAATATTTTTTTTCTTAGAATTGCCCTCATGGTGGAAGTTCTAGGTGCAGGCTATTTGAAAGTGTTAAGCTAAAGATTTTTAGATGCTTATTATGGGTGGATGTTTTATGGATCCTCTAAACTTTGTTGTTTTCAAAACACTGTAAATATTTTAGCTTCTCCATTTTAGCTTACCAAAAAGAATTTTGGTAAAGGCCTTTATATTTCTAAAAATTTGTGACTGGCACACTTAATGTTATGAACAGCTAACATTACTAATTTACTATGTATTTATTTATATATTTATTTTTACCAAACAGGATTTGCCCAATAACATGATCCATCAGGTGCCAATTAAATCACTCCCTCAAGAATGGCTTTGGTGTGAAACGTGGTGTGACGATGCCTCTAAGAAAAGGGCAAAAACTATAGATTTGGTGAGTTGTCTGAGCTTCTTGGTGGTGTCTTAGTCCAGGGGGGTGTGTCACTAGATAATTATTAATACACGGATTCTTGTGTAGTCTTTCTCTGCAATTGCATAGCCTAGGGACTGTCGAACATCTTACAGTAAGCAGACCTTTTTGTGCTTGCAGCAGAAAGCCAGTCCTCTAGTGTCTGATGAGGCTGTGTTCACTATTTACAAGCAGTGGAAGTACTACTTTTGTTTCTGCTAATCTAGCATTTGGTTCCTCAGTGGTATTCTTTTTGTCCAGTTAGAACTTGAAACAGAAACACCTTTGAATTCTATGTAATGTTCCCTTTCTTCAGCTCAGCTGAAGTATGCCATTTTGGTTTTCACAGTGTAATAATCCAATGACCAAAGAGCCCAAGCTAGAAGCAGCAGTTCGCATTGTCCCAGAGTGGCAAGATTATGATCAGGAGATCAAGCAACTACAGATTCGCTTTCAGAGGGAGAAAGAAACAGGAGCACTGTACAAGGAGAAGATGACAAAAGAACCACCCCAAGAAGGTAAGGACAAATTTTGGCTTTGAGGAGGTATTTCTTCACAGTACTGACTTCTGTTCATTGCAAAAATGACAGAATAATGAATAAAAGGAAAAAAAATCACTTAATAATCCTTCCATCCCGACATTATCCAGTGTATATTTTTCACTTTCCTTTTTTAGTTTGGCCATCTAAACAGTGGTATTTATTAATGTAGTTGCTGCCCTTTTCTTCTGTCCCCCCACCCCTTCTTTTTTTTGAGAAAGGGTGCTTTCATTGTGATTATTGTTACTTCGGTTCATCAGTTTTATGATGCATAAATAAAAACCAAACATGATATTATATTGGAATCTCTTACCAGATTCCTTGGTGTTTTCATTAAATCTATCCAGGCACTAGTGAATGAACACATTTAGGATTGACAATGTATTTGTATTTAATTTAGGCTAAGAATAGAGAGGTCTAAGTCTGCATATAGTGCTTTTCCTACTATGTCTATATCTTTAATGGTAGCCAGTTGAAACAAATCATTAGAATACAAAAATGACCTTTTGTATTAATAAGCTGGACTCTATAACATTTATTCAGCTCAAAACTAATTTTAAAAAAGCAGTCACAGAACATGGTTCTTGAGTGATTCGCCTAAATATCTTAAAGACTATATCATGATATTAAATATTGCAGCTAAAAGTTTGGATAGTTAACATAAAAATAATTCAAATTCATTAGTAAAACCTCACAGATTTCCATAAATGAGCAAAAAATGTAGACTTACTGTTCAAATAAGAAGAAAACAAATAATAAATGAATTTGAGGAAATAGTAATGAGATTAAAGTAATCCACCATTAATATGTACTACACAGAAAAATATTCATACTCATGAGGCCATTGTTGGGGAGATGGTGGTGAAATTGCCTGGGTCTTCCTGTGTATTATAGCAGTCCTTGTTAAAAAGCTGTAAATCAGTCATCAGGCACAGTTAAAATGTTTATACCTCAAAAATTTCTCTCGTAAATTTACCTGAAATAATTTAACATATGGAAAAATGTTATATACATGGACAAATTATTTTACTAATATTTATAAACCAAAAGCGTTGAAAAAAATTTAAACATCCAAGCACAGAGGATGGTAAATGAGCTACATAGGAATATGTTTATGTGTTATTAAATTTAAAAAAAGGAGAATCCTGACAAAAATGTGCATTTTATTGAAAGCGAGTACTGTTCTTTGCAAACAGTTCACATTAAGTAGGGATATGTTGATAGTTCCAATGTAAAAATCAAAATGTCTTCTTTATTTTGTTTTTGCTTTCAAACAGACCAAACCAGAGTTTCTAAAAATTTTAAAAGAGAGATAAAATGCAGAATTGGGCACAAACAATAGGTTACAGTACTAGAAAAATGCCCACTCTCTGTTTTTATAACTTGATGACAGTCCACTTTCTCTTTAATGATTCTCTTTTTCTGTAGGACCTCAGAAACATGAAGAATTATGATCGTCAGAGGATAGGAGATTGCACCATTTGAAAAACACTTTTTATATTAAAAGCTAGTTTTTTCTGATCTGTCTGTACAACTGCTGATGAAGTGGCTGAGCAGGTGTGCCCAGATCCTTTTGATGCTGAGCATTTGACTTTTGATTCCTGCACATTGGTGGGCTGTGGGTCTTTGAAGTTGAGGCTTTCTTGGATTTGTACCTCAGAGGATGGTGAGTGGCTGATCTTTGAGTACTCTGTAAAGAGCAGTCTTCTAGCCCAAAGGGAAAATAGCAAAGGCAGTGGGAGCAAAACAACAAACTGAAGAGCGCACAGGTACCACATTGTCATGGGAGCAAACCAGCGAGAGCCGCCACTCTTCGTCGCCTCTGTTGACTGGCAGCAGAGTCCAACTGCAGCCTGCATTATGTGCAGGAGCTTTGTCCAGCATCTACAGCATCTCGAGGTTTATGCCAGTGTGCTCCTGTGCCCTTCCCGCATTCTTCCCCTAACATTACACCACTGTTGAATTGAGACCCAGCCATCAGTTTGTGTCTTCAGGATTGGCTCAGAATAAACAAATTGTGGGCATCATAAGGGTGGTTTAGGGTGAAGGTATGGGAAAACACCCAGGAGCAGGAGGGCTCTGGGGTGTTGCAGGGGGTGGTGAGGAAAACCAGAAATTTGCTGTTCTTTTTTATAAACCATCAGCACCATTGTGACTAATTTGAAATGAAAACATTATTTTGATTCCCCACCCAACTTCACTGAATATTTTAGGTAATTATTTTGTAAATAAGTTTTCTATTTTTAAAGTATTTGCTTTTTCTTTCCACTTTCTAAAGAAATGTTGTTATGGATTTCTTTACTGGATATAGCCATAGTAAGGCCTCTAGTGACACATCGTGGAGGCTGAGGGCTACCTCTCCTCCTCTGAGGATTTTTCTCTCTGAGACACAGGAAAGTTGGCTTTGACTTTTCTTTACAAAAGGACTCAGATTTGAGAGCAGCAGAGGTGTGAACAGTGTAATTCATGTGTTTTTTTTTTTTTTTTAACACTGTTCCATATTTCTTTCAGCTTCATGCTGTGGGTGGCCTTTGACTTGCAGAAATTCAGCACTCCACCAGTCCTAACTCTACCCAGTTACATCTTGAAGCCACGTTAGCCCTTTAGTCATGGCTTTTTGTGTTTCTACCCAGAATGGCCTGGAGCAATGTGTCCTGGTGAATGGGCAATCCTGGAAGACTCCCATGAGGAGTGTTCTGGTATATGGCTGGTCTGTGGGGTGCAAAGTTCCAGGTTGTCCCCTCACCTTCCCTGAGAAAGCAGAAGGAGTGCAGCTGCGAACTCTCATGTTTGCCTGCTTTGTAAAAATAGGAGGTGTGCAAATGGACACCTAAATCCTCACTTTTCTAAGCCAGGTAACATTAATCTTCAGTCTTTTAAAAAAAAAAATCAAAGTTTTATAACATTTCAAACAATTTATTTTTTCCATATTCACATGCAAAAGTTAGCTTAGGAGTCTCTCAAGCACTCTGATGGAGCTTTTGAGCTTGCTTCTATAATTCCATTAAAAATTGGGGTGGAAAGCTCAGAAGATTTTTAGATAAATTGATCCATGACTAAAAAAGGTCCCTCAGAATCACTGCTGTTGACCAAGGCTGTAGCATGAGTTCCCGCTGCCCAGCTCCTCACTGGGTCAGAGCAGATAAAGATATATAGAATCCATGAGAGTGAAAAATGTTTATGCAGCTTCATCTTTGAGTTATTTAAGTTTTTCTAAGTCTTCTGCTGCTGCCACTTCTGTTTACAAACATGGGCAGAATTGTGCATTTCCCCAGTTTATTTTCTGAGAGATTGAGCAGAAAATACCAAAGTCACTTTTTAAATGTTGGTTCCCTTGGGACATGAACCAGACTGCCTTTTCCTTATGTCTTTCTGCCAGGTCTCTCGTACATATTTCATGAAAGGTACAATGTGAAATCTGTTCTCTGTGTGGTATGTATGTCCTCATGGCCCTTGTTTGTCACCACCCCAAACAAGGTCTTATTAATAGTGTAATCTAAATATGCAAGATCCAGCTTGCTTCTGAAATGGCCTAGGGCCCTCCTTCACTTTCCAGTAATTGTTGATTCAAGTGGCATAAACATCTTTCAAAACTACACCCTAGGAAATGATGTTCCCACTAAAATTTGGCTTTGGTCAGCTTTGTTGACTCTACTGTGTGAAAGCAAATTGTGACCGAAAAGACAGGTAGAAGAGACTTTTTTTCCAAGATGCAAAGATTGATTACGTTGAAACATCCAAGCTTCTGGAAACTGATCGCAATGCATTGTTTTTAACCACCATTTGTATGTAATGTTTTTTTCTTCTCTCTCATTATGCCATAATAGAAAATTTTCTTCCTGAATCAGTGTCAGAATGATATGAAATAATGTGACATGCCAGAATACCCATGGGACAGTGTGACTTTTTATGTTCCATGAACAGTGATTTTTGAGATCAAAACCTATGCACACAGCCTGCTGCTAGGGCTGTGGGTGCATTCCTATGTTGTGTTTTAAAACTGTACTCAATACCGACACACTGAGAGTGATGGCATGTTTATTTTTCATAAGATTGATAAAGTGTTGAATCTGTCAAAATGGCATTTCAAATTGAAGCAAACAGATGTTTGCCTACCCACTAAGTGTGCATGCCTTGTGGTTGGCTGATGTATTGTGTGAACACAGCTCTTGGGAGAACAAAGATTTTTCATACAGAAAGAAATGGTTTCCAAGAATGGAGCTTAATTTACTCTGCTGTCCTTTAATTCCTCACATTCTGAACCATGTTAAAGCTTTGCCTGAGTGAACAACTTTAATCTGGTTGTGGGGACTAACCTGGATGAAGGGCTGAAAGCTAGGGATGACAGTGTAGTTTTTGGAAGAGACTGGGCCCAGCGATAGGAAGGAAGGAAGGAAATCTCAGTTTCCTGTAGCTGGGAATTTACTTCACTGATGCCATAATTTGGAACTGGTCAGACACCACCCTCGTAGCAGTGAGTATAAAATGATTCCTTTTCCCCCACATGTCCCCTGTAAGGACTTAAAAATGGTCCTTTTCTAATATTGTCATGAATGATTAATAGAAATAATTCAACTAAAGAGTTACAAAGGAATATCTAGTCCATTTTTCTGAATAAAATGTTAGTACTGTGGTATCAGATTTCAGGGAAATGTAAATGTTTTGGTAGAGCCACCTAATGGAAACTTTCTTGGTAACACAAATGGAGGGTGCATTGTACAAGTTATTTAAATTTATATATCATGTAATTTTTATAATTAGTTTTTTAAAATATTTGATTTTATAAAGGGGAAAATTTGGGGGATAATTAGAGTTAATTAACTTACATATAGCTGTCATGTGTCTAGTTTGGTGGGATAATATTTTTAATTTAAATTCATGTTTCCTCTGCCTTGATGTGAGGAAGGATCTCTATCAGGACTTTGGTAATTATGTGATTGAATTCAAGCCAATTAGACTCATTAAGTGGAGTCATCATTGATATTTCAAAGAATCTCTGCAGGATACCAGTTTCTCTTTTATTATTTGGTCTTTGATCTCTTGATCTGATACAGAAGGGACACTTCTGGGTGTCAGTGAGACAGTGCACTAGGTAAAGGATCCCTCCCCCTCATTTATGCTGACAATTTATGAAAGCAACCACAAAGTCAGTTTTAAACAGCTGCATGCTCTCCAGAAGTAGTTCATAAGGTTTAAACTCTCTAGTGATGATTTTGCCAGCAGGAGGCCATCTCTTGAGTCTTTCCCAATTACTTAGCAACAATAAAAGCCAAATGTAGAAGATTTAATTAAGTAGGATAAAAATTAGAGTATGAACTAAGGCATTGCCTTACTTGTAATGATTTAGGTTTCCAAAGCAATGGGCATAATTTCTTTTCAGAATGAAAGTGTCAGAATACATTAACCTAAGGTCAACAATTTGAGAAAAGATTGTCAAGTACCATGTTTTCCAAACAGTTATCCTTGGTAATAACAATGTAAGCATAGGAAAACAAAGAAAAATGTTAGAATTTAAAAAGAACTGTGTACCTAAAAAGAAAATCCTTCTTGATAAAAACTATTCTATTTTATTGTCATTCTTGTCTATTAAATGCAACATAGGTTCAGGTGCTGTCCTTGCTTGGGAACAAGCATTTGGGCTCAAATGTCTGCAGAGCCCTCGGCACCCAAAGTGAACTGTGAATGAATTTCCTGCTACTGTAATGAAAATAAGGTCTGGTCAACACAATAAACTTTTTTTTCTTTAAAACTGTCTGGTCATTCAGTTTTAAGTTTAGGAAGGGCAGATTGTTACAACTCAAAGTTGCACCCCTTTATCTGAAAAAAGCAGCAGCCCCAGACACTAAGGAGACCTTTATCTAAACAACTTCTTCATTTTTTTTTTTTTTAATTTTTCAAATACATTTCTCTCCATTTACTCACCACCACTTTCCCCTGCCCTCGCATCCTCATTTTTCTCCCTCAATCACTGCCCACCTGGGCTCTGTCCATGTGTCCTTCAAACATGTTCCTTGATTTGACCCTTCCCCTTTCTTCCCCCACTGCCCCTCTTCCCTCTAGTTTCTGTTGGTTTCTTTTTTCTTTCAATGTTGCTGGTTATATTTTCCTTGCTTGTTTGTTTTGTTAAGTTCCAATATGGGTGAGATCAAATGGTATTTGTCTCTCACCACCTGGCTTACTTCACTTACCATAATGTTCTACAGTACCATCCATGCTGTTGCGAAGGGTAGTATTTCTGCTGCATAGTATTCCATTGTGTAAATGTACCATAGTTTTTTGATCTCCTCATTTATTGATGGGCACTTAGGTGGTTTCCATCACGTGGCTGTTGTAAATGGTGTTGCTTTAAACATTGGGGTGCATAGGTTCTTTTGAATTGATGTTTTGGAATTCTTAGGGTATAATCCCAGCAGTAGAATAGCTGGGTCAAAAGCAGTTCCATTTTTAGCTTTCTGAGGAAATTCCAAACTGTTTTCCACAGTGGCTGCACCAGTCTGCATTCCCACCAACAGTGTACTAGGGTTCCCTTTTCTCCACAGCCTCACTAGCACCTGTTCTTGTTGATCTGTTTATGATGGCCATTCTGACTGGTGTGAAGTGGTATCTCATTGTGGTTTTAATTTGCGTTTCTCTGATGGCTAGTGATGAAGAGCATCCTTTTATATGTATCTTGGCCCTGCGTATGTCCTCCTTGCAGAAGTGCCTGTTCAGGTCCTCTGCCCATTTTTTAATTGGATTGTTTGTCTTCCTGGAGTGGGGTCATGGGAGTTCTTTATATATTTTGGAGATCAGACCCCCATCTGATGTATCATTGACAAATATATTTTCCCATACCATGGGCTCCCTTTTCATTTTGCTGATCTTTTATCTAGCCATGCAGAAGCTTGTTATTTTGGTAAAGTCCCATTTGTTTATTCTCTCCTTCATGTCCCCTGTTCTAGGGGACATATCAGTGAAAATAGTGCTGCATGGGATATCTGAGAGTTTCCTGTCTATGTTCTCCTCTAGGACTTTTATGGCGTCGTGACTTCTTTTATCCATCTTGAGTGTATTTTTGTGTATGATGTTAACTGGTGGTCAAATTTCAATTTTTTGCATGTAGGTGTCTAGCTCTCCCAGCACCATTTGTAGAAGTGGCTATTTTTACTCCATATTACGCTTCTTCACCTTTTGTCAAATATTAATTGACCATATACACATGGGTTTATTTCTGGGCTCTCTATTCTGTTCCATTGATTTATGTGTCTGTTCTTGTGCCTGTACCAGGCTGTTTTGATTACAGTGGCCTTGTAGTATAGTTTGATGTCCAGTATTGTGGTCCCTCCTGCTTTGTTTTTCTCTCTCAACATTGCTGTGGCTATTCGGGGTCATTTATCATTCCATATAAGTTTTTGAAATGTCCTTTGTCTGTGAAATACGACATTGGTATTTTAATAGGGATTGTGTTGAATCTATAAATTGCTTTGGGTACTATGGACATTTTGATGATGTTAATTCTTCCAATCCATGAACATGGTATAGGCTTCCATTTATTTGTATCTTCCTTAATTTCTTTCTTCAGTGTTGTAAAATTTTCTGTGTACAGGTCTTTTACCTCCTTGGTTAAGTTTATGCCTAGGTACTTTATTTTTCTTGTTGCTATGGCAAGTGGGATTTTTTTTTCCTGATTTCTGCTTCAGATATTTCATTGTTGGTGTACAAAAATGCCTTTGATTTCTGACTATTGACTTTGTGTCCTGCTGCTTTGCCAAACTCACTTATTAGGTTGCATAGTTTTTTGGTGGAGTCTTTGGGGTTCTCTATGTACATTATCAGGTCATCTGCAAACAATGACAGTTTTACTTCCTCCTTTCCAATTTAGATGCCTTTTATTTCTTTTTCTTGTCTGATCACTGTGGCTAGGACGTCTAATACTACACTGAATGGAAGTGGTGAAAGCAGACATCTTTGTCTTGTTCCCGATCTTAGTGGGAAAGCTTTTAGTTTTTGCCCATTGAGTATGACGTTGGCTATAGGTTTTTCTTACGTGGCCTTTATTATGTTGAGGTATGCCCCCTTTATTCTCACTCTCCTGAGTGTTGTTCTCATAAATGGGTGCTGTACCTTATCAAATGCTTTTTTACACCTATTAATATGGTCATGTGGTTTTGTCTTTCCTTTTATGTGATGTGTAACGTTTATTGATTTGCAAATATTGAACCATCCTTGCATCCCTGGGATGAATCCCACTTGATCATGGCGGGTGATCTTTTTAATGTATTGCGGGATGTGGTTTGCCAGTATTTGGTTGAGGATTTTAGTGTCTATGTTCACCAGTGATATTGGCCTGTTGTTTTCTTTCTTGGTTGTGTCCTTATCTGGTTTTGGGATTAGGATGATGCTGGCCTCATAAAATGAGCTTGGGAGTCTTTCCTCTTGTATTTTTTGGAGTAGTCTGAGAAGGACAGGGGTTATCTCTTAAGTGTTTGTAAAATTCTCCTGTAAAACCATCCAGTCCAGGGCTCTTGTGTGCTGGGATTTTCTGATTACTGTTCCCATTTCACCAGATGTTATCAGTCTATTCAGGCTTTCTGCTTTTTCTTCATTAAGTGTTGGAAGGTTATATCTTTCTAGAAATTTGTCCATTTCATCGAGGTTTTCAAATTTCTTGACATATAATTGTTCATAGTAATTTCTTACAATCTTTTGTATTTCTGAGGTATCAGTTGTCATTTCTCCTCTTTCATTTCTGATATTATTTATTTGGGTCCTCTCCTTTTTCTTGATGAGTCTGCTTAAAGGCATTTTGATTTTGTTTATCTTAAATTTTCAAAGAACCAGCTCCTGGATTGGTTGATCCTTTCAATTTTCCTTTGTGTCTCTATATTATTCAAATCTGCTCTGATCTTGTTTATTTTTTTTTCTTCTGCTTACACTGGGCTTTGGTTCTTATTATTTCTCCAGTTATTGAAGCTGTAGGTATAGTCATTTATTTGAAATGTTTCTATCTTTTTTAGGTAGGCCTGTGTTGCTATGAGCTTCCATCACAGGATTGTCTTCGCTGTGTCCCATAGGTTTTGGACTGTTGTGTTTTCATTTACATTTGTTTCCAGAAATTTTGTAATTTGTTTTTTGATCTCAGTTTTGACCCATTCTTTGTTTAGTAGTGTGCTATTCAGTCTCCATGAGTTTGAATGTTTTTGAGGTTTTTCCTTGACGTTAGTTTTTAATTTCAAGCGCTAGTGGTCTGAGAAAAAAACTTCTTTTGATTTCAATTTTCATGAATTTGTTGAGGCTTTTTTTGTGTCCTGTTGTATGATCTATCTTAAAAATATTCCATGTGCCTTTGAAAAGAATGTGTATTTTGGTTCTTTGGGATAAAAGATTCTATATATATCAGTTAACTCCAATTGATCTAATACGTCATTCACTTCCACAATATCCTTGTTTATGTTTCGTTTGGAAGATCTACCCATTGTTGACAGTGGTGTGTTAAAATCCCCTGCTATGAATGTGTAACTGTCTCTATCTTCCTGGAAGTCCACAAAGGTTTTCTTTATATATTTGGGTGTTCCTATGTTGGGTGCATTGAGGTTTACAATGTTTATGTTTTCTTGATGGATTCTTCCTTTGAGTATTATAAAGTGTCCTTCTGGGTCTCTTTTTATGGCCTTTGCTTTGAAATCTATTTTGTCTGGTATAGGTATTTTTACCCCTGCTTTTTTTTCCTGGCCATCTACTTGGAATAATTTTCCCTCCATTTCCCGTCAGTCTGTGTAGGTCCTTTGTTCTGAGTTGGGTCTGTTGTAGGCAGCATATATGTGGGTCATGTTTTCTTACCCATTCAGCTATCCTACGTCTTTTGATTAGGGCATTTAATCCATTTACATTTAAAGTTATTGATAGGTACTTACTCATTTTTTTTCCTTAGCACCTGTGTCTCTCTCTTTCTCACTCTTTTTCTTCATCTTCTTAAACCTTTAGCATATCTTGCAGTGCTGGTTTGGGGAGGTGTATTCTTTTAGTCTTCTTTTGTCTGGGAAACTCCTTACTTTGCCTTCCATTTTAATTGAGTGCCTTGGTGGGTAGAACAGTCTTGGTTGCAGGCCTTTGCTTTCCATGACTTGGAATATATCTTGCCATTCCCTTCTGCTTATATTGTTTCTCTTGAGAAGTCAGGTGATAGCCATTTTGGGGCTTCCTTGTATGTTACTACCTGTTTCTTCCTTTAGGATTCTCTGTTTGTCTTTGATATTTGCCATTTTAGTGATGATGTGTCTTGGAGTGGGCCTCTTTGGGTTCCTCTTGAATGGGACCCTCTGTGCTTCCTGTTCTTGTGTGGCTTTTTCTCTTCTCAAATTAGGGAAGTTTTCCATCATTGCTTTTTAAACAGGTTCTTTATCCCTTGTTCCTCTTCTCCTTCTGGTATCCCTAGTAGACAGCTATTATTACGTTTCAGGTTGTCCTGCATTTCCCTCAATGCCTCTTCATTCTTTTTTAATCTTTTCTCATGTTCTTGCTCTTTCTGGGAGCTTTTTCAACCTCATCCTCCAGCTTGCTGACTTCATCCGCTGCTTCATCTATCCTGCTTTTGAATCCTTCTACTGTGTTCTTCAATTAGGAAATTGTATTCTTCATTTCCTCCTACCTCTTGTTGATAGTTTCTGTATCCTTTTTCATGCTGATATAATTTGCAAAAAGTTCCTAATAGTTTCCCTGTAGTTTTTGGTAATTCTCTTTGAGCTCACTGAGGTCACTGAGCTTCCTGAAAACCATTGTTTTGAACTCAATATC